AGGACCTGATGAGTCTACAAGACTCCAAGAGGAGGCAGACCAATTGCAAGCAGGTTATTAACTTGGGCTCTGCTCTGCTCAACCCAGAAACTGAGCCACTCAAATGTGACATGCCAAAAATCAAAATTTCAGCAGTTGATATTATTTCAGATGAGGAATTCTGACAGTCCTCTTTGAAGATGCCTATGTCTGAAGACCTTGTTCGGATCTAGTGACATTTTCTGAAAGATAGTTCTGTAGCAGTAATTATATTCTTAACAGTATCATCCTTACCCCGATAGTTGATATATTTTATGCATTTCAGTACATATGTACCTGTCAAAAATATTTAATTCCATATAATCTTGAAACACGGAACTAAGAATTCTATTAATTGTTTAAATACATGAGAATGGATAATTTTTTTCCTTCCATGGAATTTATCAGACTTGTAGTATATGAATATGTTAAAGATCATGTGATCCATAGGATAGTTTTAGGTGATGATGAATAGTCCTGTTCCCTCTGGCATCCTCACTTGCCGTGAACTGCTAAACCCAAGATGTTGGCGTTAATTTTCAAAAACCACCTTCTAGTTCCTGTTGATGGTGTATGTCCAGCAGCTGCTAAAACCCCACATCTTTGCCTAGCAGATTCTGCCTGGGGTCAGTATCACCTTTTTTTGCGCAGAACAGATGATAGTGGCATCTACTGGTATCACTTGTTACACAGGCAGATGGCATGTAAATACTTTTTTGAGACTGGCTAAGTGAGGAAGCTGTTACTAGATATTTTCTGGAAAAGTGGGGTGTTTATATTCTCTGTGGATTAATAGTTAGGTTACGAGATTTTGCTTCCCTGTAAAACCTTTGAAACTGACTCCAGAGAGGCATGCAAGCATTGCACAATCCGCATCCCTCATTCTGAAAGGAGCTTACTAATTGATTAATTTTAGTAAATTTTGTCTGGACATATGTTCATGCTTTCCAATATATCAGAAAATACGTATTTTGTATGCCCTTCTGCTCTGTCTTGAGTTAAGCAGTGTCCTTAGCAGTAATTACGACTGATTTGAACGTACTTTTTAAGGTACAGTGCATGCAAAGTAACGTATGCCCCAGACTCTTCATAAGACGATTTGAGAATCTGAGTTCTGGTTGGCTTGAAACAAAAGAACTGAATGAGTTATAGGGCATTTTGTCCCTGATGTTGGAAAACGTTCAACATTGCCATTCAATATCTAATAATATTTTCTGAGATCACATTAAAGCAGCAGTCTGCTCAGAGATTTTAGGACGTATGCTAGAGCAAGAACATAGTGCCTTTGCGGTGCTGACTGTGCTTCCTTTCGTGTCCTTGGTTACTGAGGTGGTTGCAATTCTCAAGCCCCCTCACATCTCTAATCTATGCTTTTGGGTAATCAAATAAAATCCTGTAATCTTTTGCAGTTCCTGCCCGATCTGTTCTTGTAAACAACATTCTCATAAATATTAATATATTCTGACTACTTCCTAGGAGTAACATAGGAGAGATGACTATAGAGTTACTCACAGAGCCTTAGCTCTTCCTTTTCATGAGCTCTTGGGTGAGACAGCGGCAAATACAAAAGACAGGGTGTGTTTCAGAAAAAAATAATCACATATAATCTGAGGGTTCTGAATGTTTACATGCTTGTTTACTTACACAGATTATCATGTAATTTATCTGACTCAGAACTATAACATTAACATATAAAACCGTGAACTTTAATGACATTTACAACAAATGTGCGTTAGCGCTCACACTGTCTTCAATGCAGTTGTATAGTGCTGGATTTATAGTGCTGGTGGTGTTGCAGTTACATTTTCTTGAAGTTCAGCTTAATTCTATTTTTGGTTTTGTTTCAGTTTTTGTGTCTTTGGGGTTTTTTTCAGTTTTTGTCAGTGGTACTTAAAAAAAACCCAAACAAACAACTTTGATGGTGTGGCATTGATAATTTAATTACTAAAAGTGGTAGGAACTACAAAAAAGCTGAAGAAATGCCTTAATGGGTTCTTTTAAGACAGTTCATGACAACTACAGTCTTACTGAGAGAGGCTGCTGACCAAACCTTTAGGCATAAACATACAGCAATGTATGAATTTCATGTTCTAAATTTTGACAGCACACACATGGGCACCCCCACCCATCCTCTAAAGTCCACATAATGGAAAAGCTCATTCATGTAATCTAGTTTTTATCGTAGATTACATTCTTTTTTTTCATCTGGAAGTAATTAGATTGCAGAGTCTTCTGTCTAGCTTCATTTAGCTATTAATTTTAGTGTGTAGCATGTGAATAAAACTTAAGGTTGATTTCTTTCTGTATAGAAAGTAGTATGAAAGTAGTATCTTGTCCATAAAGAGATTGACAGACTTAAAAAAATGGAAGCACTTTTATTGCAACATTTGGTATTCCTGCCAGTAAGCAGCCATGTCAGGAGTTCCATAGCTAAGGTCTAAAAGAAATTACTGTAAACATAGACCTTATGTGGTAGATACTGAAGTTTACAAATGAAGATTCAAAGGCATTCACTGTTTGTTTGATTTACAGGTGCAATTACCTTCTATTTCCTCGTGAAGAATATACTTTTTTTTTTTCCAAGATTAACCTTCTATCTTTTCTTTCCTTTAATATTTTACTATAGTTTTATCTCTGATTCCGTTTGTGGCTGGTTGTTATACTTTGTAAAAAATCAGCTTACCCTTCAGTAGCTGTCAACAGTTCTTCTGAAATACAGGCAAGGTTCAGTTGAGATCCAAATAACATCAATACTGTTATATCAGAAATTGGACACATCCCAGAACGGTTTAGATGCCTCCTTCAGCAGAAGCAGGATTTCTTTAATACGCACTTCCCTGTGTGTAAGAGCATATAGGCAGTGAGTTATTTGCTTTCATGCTAAGTTGAAAGAGAATGTCACAGTATCAAAACTCTAGAAGTCTTCCAAACTCTAGAAGTTTGGTTTTATTAAAAATAGTTTGGTTTTGAAACTATGGCATATATGAAAAAGAACAGTACATTAAACCAATATTTAATATCATGCAAAATTGACACACCCCTATCTACTAGTCTCTTCTAACAAAATAACCCTCTTCCCCCACTAAAAACTTTCTATAAATATGTTTGACAGGCTCTGTTGATATCAGATTTGCTTAAACTTGGATGTAAGTTTAAACATGCTTAATGTAACAGAATTTGTCTTTTGATTCCTCTGTGTACATCCTACACCTTTTTTGGAACACCCTTCACTGAGAGCATGTAAGTGAATATAGGACCTAAGCTTATTTATCTGTTTTGTATTTATAACCTAACATAGCTGCAGCATATCTGAAGTAGTGCATGTTATTTATATAATAAACCATACTTTTAGCTGCTTCTTGGTATTTAGGAAAAATAACACTATTTCAATATTTCACTGAGCCCCAAATAGTTTTATGATTATGTCAGTAGGGCATACTGTCTGTAATTTGGTTAGAGGACTGTATTTTCTAATATACTTGTTTTTCATATAGTTAGGTAGATTATGCTATTTTTTGGACTGAATTACTTCGTGTAGAATTTTGGGGCTTATACATTTGTGGTGATTAACATTTCACTGTGTAACAATATTAGAGAATGAGCTATGTTTTAACTGTGACAATGAGCCGGACCTGTTACGAAACCAAGGCTGAAGGCCAAGTGCTGCCAGTCTCTAGAGGCGATGCAATTTTAGATTAGCAGTGTACATCATGTTGCTCTTACTGCTTTTACAGAATGGTTCCAAGTCTTTCAAGAGTGGTCAGGCACCTTTTAAATCATTTTACTGCCTGAATTCTGGCAGTTAGGTCTCTTATTCACACCTGTCCAGTTTGTCGCCTGTAAACTGCGAAACAATGACTTATTATCAACATTCTCAAGATCCTATGGCCATTTTGCATAAAATCAAACGAATCAGGCTGCTCACCTTAAAAATCAAGGAGTGTCTCTTTCTCTAACGTTTGTGGGTTGTTTTTTTTTTTTCCTCTCTCTAAAGGCTCACCACTGTTACCAGTGAGAAACAATAGTTCCATATTGTTGGAAGGAGTTACTAAATGTCTGTAGAAAAAAGAACAATATTTAACAGTTAAAATTTGGCATTTGTTTTTAAACAAATCCATTTCATATGATACTGCATATGTGTATAAGAAAAACTGAGCACAAGTGTGAGGGGAATCAGAAAAGAATTAGAAAAGATAGATTTAATTTTTTGTCAAAATTCTACCCATTAGAATATATATATGCACACACGTGTATTCAGTGGATGGCAGCAGAAAGAAGGATAAAGGTAAAGAAAAAAGAAATGGATCTGATTGTTAATCAGCATTATTCCTCTGTTATTTTGTGATAATGATGGTATGATTTTCTGAGACAGTCTGAAACACTAAACATACTTAATAGTTTTTCTAACACTAATTTATCACATTTTAGATTATGAGAGAGAGGAATCTTTTCTGCCAATGTGATGCGGTGCTTTAAACATGTAGTTACAGATCTCTACAGCTAAGCCTTGCTGACAAAAGGGTAACAGTGTATATAGAGACCTGTGAGAGACTGGATCTGCTGCTCTCCTCACTGCTGTCATATGCCGTGTTTTGTTCACAGGGGTTTGAAGAGGAGCAAGTTAGTGGATCACTGTCTTTGAGGTGACACTGTGAAAGAATTTCCTTTTGCTGGGGTTTATTTGCTTCCTTGGTAAATGGTTAAAACATTTTTACAATGCTATGGTAAAACACAACTGTCCTGGCCAAGAATTTCTGTTCTGAAGTAGACAATAGTGTTCATGATTGTAGCAGTTTGTAATAGCTTACAGGTTTGCATGATATTTGTAAATATTTCTGTTATCTCCTGATTTAGACTGCATACCTTGGAACTTTAGTGTGTACATAGTCAGGTATTGTAAAGGCAAATGGAACTACAGAAGTGATGAATTTGCTCTATGAGTGCCAAGTTATCATTCATACTGTAATCTGCATCTATTCTAGCTTCTTCAATCCTGAAGAGAGAGAAGCGGAAGAGAACAAAAAATGTCCATTTTAACTGTGTTACTGTGTATTACTTCACGAGAAGGCAAGGCTTCACCAGTGTTCCCAGCCAAGGGGGAAGCACACTGGGAATGTCCACTCGCCACAACAGTGTGCGCCAATACACGCTTGGAGAGTTTGCGATGGAACAGGAGAGGCTTCACCGAGAGATGTTAAGAGAGCACCTAAGGGAGGAAAAACTCAATTCTCTAAAATTAAAGGTAAAAATTGTTCAGGACTTTGATCCCTGTCTTATTTATTTAAATGAGCAGTGTCAGAGCTCTCTGAGCCCAATGTGTGTGTTAAAACAATTTCCTTTCTATCAACTCCATTTCAATCAAAACAATGGCTTGTTTAAAAATTTTTTTTGTTTTACTGAAGACATATTTTTGTTCGATACTACTAAGTGCTGTTGCAGCTCTTACTGATGTGTGCCTCAAAGTGCTTTACAGAGGGGTGGTTGTTTACTCCCTGTTTTCTACAGAGAGGAAAACAAAGGCAGAGAGTGGTGGAAGTTAGCCTTGAACAGGGTGTCCAGCAGAAGTCTGGAAGTGCCAGGAAGAGAACAAGTCTTCTGAGCCCTTGCATGGTGTCCTATTAGACAAGGGAGTGGAAACATCATAAGTACAGAAAGTGGAACAGCTTATTTTCTTGGCCAACTTGAGCAAATTTGGCAAAAAGTAAGAAACAGTAATAGTAAAAATGTTTTCTTTTTTCAGTGTATTAATTTATAGGATCATGCGTCTTTAATATTTCACCAAAGGATGTCTGTGTTAAAGAAGAAATATGTCAGTCACATTAAGTGGCTGTATCAGTTTAGCTGGTCAGAACAAATCTTGGGTACAGTTTTGAAGCTGTCTTTTTAAATATAGCATAGGAGAGGAAAGAAACAGTGTGTTTGAGTAAAGGAGAATAGAGAAGGGGATTATGTTCTTGGAAGTGTTCCTTCTCCCTTTTTAAAACTGGTGGCAGAATGTCTGATTTTCTTATAGTTTTGTAGTGGATGAAACACTCCTTGTGTAATGGCTCATGTTTTGTGTATTTTGGGCTCTTTCTCAGGTGAATCCTATAATTATAAGTCAACAATATTTAGAGTTGTAACTGAACTGGTGTGCTCCATAGCCCCGTCTTTTGTGATACTATGTCTGTTTCAGATACTGCTACAGTTGTCCAGTTTAGGTGTCCAGTTGACACCCTCCAAGTTTAAGAAATGCCTTTCAGCATTATTCACATAGAACTCATGAATATAGTTCATTCTGTGTCTGAGCTCCTGAAGAAGTGTGTATGACCCTTACTATTGTAATTACTTTTTTCAGTCTCCCAATAGTTTTTTATTTGAATAGCTAAATAATTCTTAAATAGTTCATAAAATTTGAACTGTCATAATGAAAACAAACAAAAATCACACAGGACAAAGGCAAATTAAAGACGGATATTTGGACAGGTTGGAAACCAAAGCCTAGAGTGTTAGTGACTTGCCACTAGATAGAGATGCTACCTCTAAACATCTCACATGACAGGATCTTCAGAGCATCAAGTGTGAATTGGGCTGTGTCAGTGTAGCCAGTGACTCTGTAGAGCCGTTGGCTGACTTCCAGGAATAAGCTCAAAGGGAGGAAGCCCCAGTGGAGTGAGTGAAGAATAGTAAGGCATGCAAATGTTTCCCTTTTCCGTTTCTTTTTATAGCTAGAAAGTAAATCAAGGAAAATCAGAGATCCAATCTAAAGATTGGATGAGGCCTTTTAACCTTCATCTGTATGGAGCAGAGCTTGGCTCTTTGTGGTTTCATAATTCTCCTCTTGGCTGGGATGGATCTCCTTTCTTCGTTAACTTACTTCACTCCAGCCCGCTCTTTTTTTGAGACACTTTCAAATACAACATGTTCTTCCATCTCCCCGGTCACTTGTTTGAGTGGAAGATAATCTTTACGGTGACTCTTAAGTTCCTGCAAAATCTCTTTATAAGTATTCAGTGATTAAGGAGAGCCTGATTTGCATTCCTCCCTCTGTCCTAATGTTAATTATTTCCTTTTACCAAATATAAAAGTCCTTTCCTCTACATTTAATTCAGCAGTGGTGGGATTCTTTCTTCATTGATCCTCAGCAGTTGATGTGGGAATAGTTTACTAGCGTATTCCGAGACTGGTAAGCTGACTCCAAAGTTTCAATGCAAATATTTAGAAATTGTGGTTAGGTCTTCAGAATCCTGAGTGTGGCTTAAAAATGGTAACATCTTACTAGTGTTAAATCTTTTACTAGATTAAAATATTTCTCTTTACTCTAGAACATATATAAAAACATAGGGAACAGAAAACTTCTTTTTTGAACTGGTCCATTAAACTCAGCTTAGTTGCATCCCTGATTATACACTTAAGGTAAAAAAACCAAAAACAACAACAGAAACCCCCCAGGCTTTCCCTCCCAAAAGCAAATCCAGGACTCACTGAATTAGTGATGAGTCACTGTAAAGCACTGAGCTTATTTTCTTTGCTTAGGACAACTGGGCCTTGCTGATTTCCCATTATAGAGATGGAAGAGCTGCTTGGTCATTCACATGGTTTCTAAATGAACACCAAAAGGAATAGCAGGAGCATTCTAAGGTGACAATGACAGCAATTATGATCTTTAATGAAAATGTACTAATCAGGATTTGCATCAAAATTACTGTACATCTGCACAGAAAAATGAAGAAAATGAGAAAATTAAGTAGGGCAAAGTTTGCTCAAGAAGGTTTTTCTGTTTGAAAACCATTATGCAAACAGAAAGTAACATTTTCAATGTGGCTTTTAATTTCAGTTTCCCTGTTTTTTGTTAATTTTTTGCATTAGATGAGAATATGCAAGTCTATAGGTGGAAAGCATTCTCTGTTGTAGAATTTGTTGGAAAAAAAATAGGGGAATGTATTGAAATTGAATCTCCATCATATGAGGTACTTCTAATATTTTACTTGCTAAAAGTGAAGAACCAAATAAGAAACTTCTCTTAATTAAAAGCACATAAAGACTTTAAAATGATCTTCAAGTCACTTTAGCCATTTAGCACCAGCACTGTGTTGTAAACACTGCTGACAGTGGTATAAACACTTGTTAGCAGCAGAGTATGAAAATTCTAATGGCAATCTGGACATAAAAGCCTTCTTGTCAAGATGAAAGGTACAAGGTAGGCTTTATGTTAAGAGGTTGTCATTTGAGAAAACATTATGAGTAAGCACAGTAAATTAGCTGGGATAGTCCTTACTGTTTACTCATAATGTCTTCTCAAATTAAGATCTATTAAAATGATTAGCATGACCCTAGTGATGTTAAGGCTCCTGGGCCTGTGGACACAGTTGGTTTCCTTTGTGGGAAATTGGGAGGAATAATTTCCATCTAGGGCAGGCAAAGGTGTCTAACCTAAATTTTTCACGTTTTACAGAGCTGAAGTGAATTTCACCCAAAGGCTTCACATACTCATTGGCCCTTTCCTTGTTCTGTTGTTATGACATTAACGTTTAGCTTTATGAGAGAAATTTTATCCAGCTACATATCAAGTTTAATTCAGATGAGCAGTATTATGGCAATCAAGAGAACTTAATGTTCCCCTGAAGTTCTGTATTGGAAAAGGTATTTGATGGTTCTTGATAATCTTCCTTCCTCTGTAGTTACCCAGTTACTTGTTTGAGAAATGTTTGAATCTTTCATTTCATTAATTCATTTGTTCTTTGTGTGACAAAGTTGAGGGAAAAAAAAATAAAATAATCAGAGGAGACAACAAGGAAGTCGTCCAGCAAAGGAGTCATGAGCTAAGGTGCTTTGAAATGGCAAAGTGCTGTCTAATCCCACCTGTTGTGCAGGCATTCGACTTTACAGCCTGCAGGATGCATACAGGGTTCGGGATGTGGCTGGAGTCTGTTCCTTAATGCCCTACTGCTGTGTAGCAAAGCAGTTGAGATTTGCAGGAGGAGTAGAAATACTTGAGAGGTTTGGTATGGTTCTATAGGTGCCTTTGTAAGCTGAACAGTTACCGCATTCACCTCGTGGGTAAGAGCCCTGAAACTTAATTTTTATTAAATAGTAATTCAATAAAATACTAAAATAATTACAGAAGCAGGGATTAGAATTCTTCCCCTTCTTTAGTTTCAAACTTAAATTCTGATAGGCAATTAAATTTAACAGTGATCTGCTTAAGGAGTGGTTTGAGCCTTGTGTATTTAAAACTACAGAAATCTCTATTCTTAGGTAGGTCATTCTCCTATTCTATAAAAAAGAAAAGAAAGCAAAGAAACATAAATACACTGTACTTGGTTGTACCTAGCTAACAAAAAAATGAAAAATGTAAGAAAAATCAAGGATGCCATTCTGGGTTGGAACATTCAGGCTGAGTTGCACTTACAGTGGAGTATTCCCTCTCAGTAGCTTCAGGCAGCTAAATCAAGATGCATTTAATTACTCTCTGGATTTACCTGTCTTTCACTGTAGATTATACAGAAAAAGGATGACTTCTAATGTTGTCTTTCCTACCTTACTGAACTAATACGTTGAAATACCTGGTTTAAATAATCTCTCCATTGCCCCAGGGTCAGGCAGAACTGATTAGGGAGCTATTACTCCCTCTTTTCCTAGCTACTGTAAAGTGAAATGAATAATAGAAAATAGAGTAAGAAAACAATCTGAAGGAAGTTTGAGAGGACATTTTGAAAATGGCTGCATTTAAGAAGAAGAACGAACCAGAAATATATGCACGTAAAGGGATTTGAATGTTATAGGGATAACAGACATGGTAAATAAACTGAAACATGAAATAAAATGAGGGCACTAAACTCCGAAGGCTGCAGTTACAGAGAAAGACTGAGAATACATTGAAAAAAAAAAAGAAACAATAATGCCTTTAAAGCGGAATTGTGGAAGTGGTAGAACACCTCTGCATGAACTAAATATGATGCTGAATTGCTAAGAAGGGATGATTACTGATGTCAGGAGAATTTTTTCTTTGTGCAATGTAATGTGTGCACGTACATTGTATGTAAGGACTACCAGCCGTGACACTGAGCCTGTTCTTCAAAGGGAAGAGTCAAGTCAGAAATAATTAGGGGCTTTTTTTTTTCTGTGATTGTCTTACACAGTTGTTGTAAACAAAAAACTACAATTACAAAAAAAGAGGAAGCAGTCAGTAGGAATTCACCATTGAGTAATTCAATAATGCCATAAATTGACAGTTACAATCCAAAAGATTGTGGAAAGGACAAACTGTTAACATAAATGGGAAAATGAAACAGTTGGGAATATAATAAAAGCAGAAATAGTGGAACGGGTAAGATTCAGGACTGCTTTCTTACACATAAGAAGCATAGCTAGATGGAGATGACAGGATTTAGTAGCAGAAAAATGAGGAGTTACCTTTACAGTGATAATTGTTAAATGTCTAAACATTGAAATGCACAAGAAGCAGGCAACAGTAGTTATGACTTCAGTATTTTATCTGTATTTAAAACTAGTGTCTAAAAATTCATTTGGCATAACAGGCCAAGCTGAAATTTTCTGCAAGTAAATAAGGCAAAAATGGCCATTTTTCTATGGGTAAGAAACATTCAAATTACATTCACTGGGGGCTATTTTTCTGATGCCCATGGTGAAACTGTTAATGCAAATGAGACTTGAGACTTCACTAGTGTATAATTATCACACAGTTGCACCATGTTTTTTTCACAGAAGTATGAGACCAGGTGCTCGGCTAGTGTAATTCAGCAACCTCATCAATTGAGAACATTACATAGAGCAGGTGAACATTGGGAATGTTTGTTTGTTCTTCCATTTTAAGCAAAATTATTTCATAGAACAATAATAATAGAAAAAGGTTTTATTATATGGCAAAATAAATCATATAACTGCACTTGCTTCACATTCGCTATGCAGTATGATGCTCAATCTGAGTAATTTGAGATTGAGAAAATACATTTTTTGTAGTGAATGTCATAATCTCTCTGAACTTTGTTTTAACATTTGATATTCTTTTGATTCTCAAGCAATTTTCTCTGTAGAAGAACTTTTGTAAACCCCGTAGTTGTGTTATCTGGCAGATATAACCAGTGTACTATACCATGGATGGGAAAATTAACCTTCCTTCAGTGCAGTAATTTTTTTTCTTTTCTCCTTGAATATATGTACCCCTTTCTATATGAGGTGAGTTATAGGAGTACAGTACAGAAGTATGCTATCTTATGAAAGTGACACTGGATGTTTGTGCTCGATGCTTATGGCCATTTCATTTTGAAACAATTTTTGAAAGGTTTGGGAGCTAGACTATACATAGGTAATAATATAGTGCCAGGACACTTGTATCTACAGAGACTCAAAAATTTATATCCCTAGGAAAGGAGCACAAATCCTCTAAAAACTTTTCTCAAGATCCTCCACAAGAGCTTAACAACTTATTTCTTTTCTTCTAAGTTTATTCATTCATTAACTGCCTAAGTACTTCATTCACCAATCCAGATTATTCTAAAATCTATGACAGCACAAAGCTAAATGCGTTATTTTCAGGACCAAAGAGGACTAGAAAGAACTTCAGAAGAGCTATATGCATCAGCATTATGAAATAAATGTGAAGTAATATAGATAGAAAGGGGCAAAATTAAGTGACTGCCAGGCTTAAAATTGTCAACTCAAGAAGCAAATATAAGCATCTGCCCAAACAATTAAGTGGAAATACTGCTTTGTGACCCCAGCTGTGCAAACATCAAACAACATGTCAGGCTAAAGAGAAATAGGATAGCAAATAGTACATAAATCACACCATTTTACAAATCCGTGATGCATTGTAATCTGAAACAGTGTTGGTAGTATAATTACTATCTCGAAAGGGATATCGAGGAATTTCAAAGAGCCTAGAGACAGGAACTAGAATCAATTTAAGGGTTCAAAAATTATCTTGTGAAACAGTGTAGATGCCTGAAGTCTGAATAATCCCCAGAAAGTCAACCAAGTCTGCTGGGGCCTGACAGAAAAAAAGGACTTGATAATTTTTTATTTTCCAGTGCCCAGAGTACTTTTAGTTATGAATAGTTGAAGGGGCACCAGCTCTATTCTAAAAAGAGACAAGTTGTCTCCCTTGTTTCTCTGCTGTGGTGAAGTAACCATGTCTTTGCCCTGCCTAAGGCTGCCAGTTTTGGTGTGCGGCTGTGCTTGCTTCTCCTTGTGTGTATAGAATTTAAAGTTGCCCATAAAAGTTAAAATCCTAGAATTCGAGAATAGAACTTTAGAAAGACATGAGATCTGGCAAACAATGACAAATTATAAAGGACATAAAGAACAGATAAGAAATTAGAAACTTAGGAAAAAATTAGCTTCATGACAAACATGAAACTAAAAATGTGTATTTAATTCACGTGTTAAATGTGAAAGAACTGCCTTCTCACCCCATCTGTAAACAGATTCTGGAACTTGCTGGCAGTCATGCAACTTTTTTACATATAGCTTTCCACATTGATAATGCATTACACATATTTACATCTATGAAACACACACATATATATATATATATGCGTGAGTATAGTTTAAGGACTTTGTTAATTGTTCTCTGAAACAGATGACAAAGAATGGTACAGTGGAATCTGAAGAGGCTAATACGCTGACACTGGATGACATTTCTGATGATGATATTGATCTAGATAACACTGAAGTAGATGAATACTTCTTTCTACAACCCCTGCCGACAAAAAAGCGAAGGGCATTGCTGCGAGCTTCTGGAGTGAAGAAAATTGATGTGGAAGAAAAACACGAGCTGCGGGCCATCCGCCTGTCCAGAGAGGATTGTGGCTGTGACTGCCGTGTGTTCTGTGATCCAGAAACTTGCACTTGCAGTCTTGCAGGCATAAAATGTCAGGTAAATGTCTATATTCTTGTCGTTATTTAACTATCAAGGGGAGGGGTGTGCGTGTGCATGCACACATATGTACTTTTTGTTGTTCAAGTTATAACTACTGGAAATTGATTATTAGGTGATATCACTTGTGGATCTCAAACCAGTTTTAAGGCCCAGATTTAAGAGTATATAGTGTGCGTGACAAACAATCTCCTTGAACATCTTCATTTATTTTATGATTACTTTAGGCAGATAGATTGTTTAGATGATGGTGGAGTTTTTTTGTTCTTGTACAAATATTCTGCTCCTCATATTTCTCTTTGGCCTTTATCTAAATAGGCAGATGCAGACAACAGAAGAATCAGTAGCCTGCAGATTTCAGAAGGGATATTACCTTTTATTTTAGAGACAATGCACATACTGTCCAAATCTGAATTATAGTCTAAACTCAATGGGAAACAATAAATGACTCTCTGTGGTACCATCCTTTATTTAACTTGCATGATACTTAAAATGCATCCATGGTAAATTTGCATGTAGGCAATAAAAAAAAAATCTGCTAATGTAGCAGGTAGTTTTGCCTCTGCAGACTGAAAAGGTATTTTGTATTGTACATTTAGGTAGTGTCCTATGTACAGCTGTAAGTGTCACAAAATGTTCCCTAAAAGATGTTTCCACTAATTCTCCTGAGTTGCTGTTGTGCAGCTGAGTTGATTTCTTCCCTGAATGTACTTTTCTTCATCTCTCAAATCCAAGCTAAACTTGCTATTTTAAATAATATATTCTCTATGCTGTTCTTGTTTTCATCTTTAACTATGGGAAAGATGTACTAGATCGTGTTATATGGTTCTCCTCTGCATCAAATTTGATGTTTAGGTATTACAATGTAGATGAAAATCATAGACCTTAAGCTATTTAATCGAACAATCCAACATGTGGAATCAGTCACGTTTTTTAGAAATTTAAGATGACTATTATGAGATGTATCAGTTCTGCCCACAGTCTGTTGAGCTTGCTTACAATATTACATCTACAATTGACTGGAATGTCTTTTAAAATATACTTTTTTTTTATTCCTGCTTTCTGTGATCAGGTGTCTCCACTGGCATCTTTATAAAGCTTTTTATATATAATTTATTTTGTTTCAATAGGCTTCTAGTTTCCATGATTTTTGCCAAATTTTAAGACTGTTTCTGGTAATGCTTTTGCCTGGATTTAAGCACAACATGGAGTAAAGCTATAGCAGATCCAGAAATAGAAAAGCTACCTATTTTTTGTTACGCTGTGTAATGCTTTCACCTATGGAAGAGAAGCATATTTTTCCTACTCTGCAACATCGTTGCACGTACGAGTCCCTTACTGTTCCTATCAGCAGCGCTAAATTCCAGGGCTAACTCTGAATTATTGTTAGCTTCGAGTATTCTTACAAGTACTTCTCAAGGTGAATCCCAATTCACTGTTGTATTTCTCTAGGCTGTCTAGGTTCTTATGCTACGTGTTGTTAATCTCTATTCTTTTTTTTAAAAGGTGGATCGTATGTCTTTTCCATGCGGTTGCACTAAAGAAGGGTGTAGCAATACAGCAGGTAGAATTGAATTTAACCCTATCCGTGTACGGACTCACTTTTTGCACACAATAATGAAACTTGAATTGGAGAAAAATAGAGAGCAGCAAGTTCCAGCACTAAATGGCTGCCACAGCGAGATAAGTGCACACACTAGTTCTATGAGTCCCGGACCCCATCCGGTTGAATATTCAATTGCAGAAAATTTTGAGATTGAAACCGAACCTCCGGCTGCAGTTATGCATTCTCAGTCAGCGGAGGACTTGGACTGCCCAGGGGAAGAGGAGGAAGAGGAAGATGGGAGTAGCTTTTGTAGTGGAGTTACAGATTCTAGCACACAGAGTTTAGCCCCTAGTGAATCAGATAACACACACGAGGAAGATGAGGAGGAAGATGAGGAGGAAGAAAAAGCCGATGATTTTGTAGAAAGCATGGGCTCCCATGCTGATATGGTGCCTCTTCCTTCTGTCCTTTGCTACTCTGATGGAACTGCTGTGCATGAAAACCACTCTAAAAATGCCTCATACTATACTAACTCTTCAAATCTGTATTACCAAATAGAGAACCACGTTGCTGGCACTGCTAACCAGATCGGTGAAACTTATTCAGAAAGGGACGCTGTCAAGAACGGTAGTCTTTCTCTGGTGCCTTACAACATGACTTCAGAACAGTTTGTTGACTACACACGGCAATCAGAGGAAACTTTTAGCAGCCCTCATTACCCTTCTGCAAACCCCTCAGTGATTGTTTGCTGCTCATCTTCTGAAGGTGATAGCAGTGCTCCATGTAACAGCTTATACAGTGAGCATAGGCCAAGTCACCCTCAAGTGGAATTTCACTCATACTTGAAAGGTCCTTCTCAAGATGGCTTTGTTTCAGCTTTGAATGGCGACAGTCATGTACAAGAGCACCCTGCTGAGAATTCACTAAACCTCCCAGAAAAGAGCAGACTGCACGAAGAGTGCATCAAATCACCAGTGGTAGAGACGGTACCCGTTTAATATTAAAATTATTCTAGGACTGACTTCCTGTATTAAAATGCACTCACATTGGATTTCCTAGAATCTTACTTTTTTAAGAGGTAAACAACACTTGGACTATAGGCAATGTTCCAGACACATTTTGTTTTCTCAAGCTACACTAGCAGTGGTATTGCACAAAAACAGTTCATGTAAAGAGTTAAATAAAAAATAATCAAACTGTCTTTTGATAAAAATAAAAAGTGTAAGTAAAAAACACACCCAACATATTTCAAAGTAGCCTACCCATTGAAGTATGTGAAACCTGCCAAGCTATCTGAATCAAAGCTTCATGTTTTTGATTGTCGGGCCTGTGCAAGATTGTTAAAAATGATACTTTGAAATAATCATGTTTAGAGTCCTAATTTTCAACGTACCTGAAAAGATGGTAAGTTTAATGTAAAAGTAACTACTGTACAAAAGAGTTTTAATTAATTGTTCTGTACTGTATGTATTTTATTTATGGTAGTTTAGTACTCATGTTTTGGTAAAAATGAACAGCATGTTCATTTGAGCAGAAGATCCATAGCTAGTTACAAAGAGCATGTCCACTTTTCATCTGGAGTACCTTGTATTCTCCCTTTTTTTTTAAAAAAAAAAATACCATAGCTGGTAAATTATCTTGAAATGCATTTTCAGAGTGTACTATTTTCTTTTTTACTGTTCTTGACAAACAGAAGAGTCAGAAAGGGGGCATTTACATCTTCTAGAAAGGTGAAAGGTAGACAATCCTCCATTAAGATTAAAATCAGTGGCATTCCAGAACTAGTACCCCCTGCCCAAAGAAAAATGATCTTGTATATAATGGCAAAGCAGTAGCTTAAGCGCTTGCACAGCACCTTTTAGCCCAACAAACACTGAGCTACTTATGCACTTTAGTGCCATTTTGCATTACTGTACTAACTGCGGGAACTGTGAACACTGGAGAAATGCCATAGCTGCAGACTCTGAGGTGTATGTAAGTTCTTAAAATCCATTGTAACAGAACCTGTATCTTTTTCCCAAGCCAGTTTATGAATATGTCAGTAGGTAATTTATAAAAACAGAGTCTTGCTGATCAAAGTTTAAATGAAGCATGGGAAAAAAAATGTGGAACTGTCTAGATTTCCTAAATATTTAGCAGTTTTTATGAAATATGAGACTGGCTTTTGTGGACTTCTGAACATATCTCAAATTTACAGTCGTTTAGTCTAATTAGGAACCACTAGATTCAGTGAGGAAACATAGCTTCAGAAATTTTCTGTCTGCTGAAATTTGCAAGCAAAATAGCACATGCATCATATGGATATCCGTTACCTTGCATTCCATTTGTTTTTAAATGAAATGGGAATTAAAATTCTTGCTGTATCTCAGCCTTTATTAACCAACCTGGCTTTCTTCTAGAAAAGGAGGTATGAAAACCTACTTTTCTCTACACTGATAATTCTGCACCACCTTATTTTGATTTGAAAATCTATTTTAACATTTTTGTGCTTCTGATACTGAAATTTTATTTATTATACATCAAGTGGGTTGAAATGTAGACCTGTCTTGTTTGTCAAAATAAGGATCAGCATCTTAGTTTTTATCTGCGTCAAATCTAGATGGCTAACAGTACGCATGTAAACACAGTGTAAATTTTAGCTCTGTAACAGTGACTCTTCTCTTTAAAACATCATGTACAGTACTCCAGTAGAAAAATTGCCAGATTTAAAATACGCTTTTTAAAAAAATAAGCTGACTTAATTGTTTTTATATGAAATCTGGGCAAAGTGATTTCTCATTTTTATGCCAAATTAGCAAACTAGTTTTACTCCATGTAGTAGCTGGAAAGGTTTTTTATTTACCCACAGGAAGTCCTACATATTTTATATGCACTGCACTGAAAAGTCCTAGTTCTCCAGGGAGCGGATTCCACACTTGCAATGTATTCCATCTCCTGGGAAAGTGCAGCCATGTTGGTTAGCTGGCTCAGCAGTTCCTTAGCCGCTGTTCCTCTTAGTCACAGAACACGCGAGGCTCTTTCTCTAAAGGCTGAGTAGCCAGGTAAGCGCATGTATTCTCCAACTCCACACAGCAAATACCCATCTTTATTTTTAAAGAGAAACATGTTACTTCATAAAGTTCTGCATCTAAGAATAAGAATAATACTATTCTGTTCACTATATCCTATGGGCAAATGTAACAAGTCTCTGTGTATATAGGCATCTTGCATTAACAGCAGGCTTAAATCTGGCACTCTCACTCAACACCAGCACCAAAAGCACAAATCGCTTCCTGAGCTGGGACAGTAGCTGTGAATCACTAGCAGCTTTTTAACCTCAGAGTGTGCTGGAGGATCACGCACACTTTACCAGGGTATTTCTCTCAGGGGAAAGTTAAATGAAATATTTTGTTTCATTATTCACCCCCTTACTGAGCAATAAGAAATTATTTTCTTGGCCCCTGTGCTTTCACATGAAAAATACCTTTAATAATATTAACAAGCACAGTAAGTGATTAACTTTATAAAATACATCTCAGCTAGCTTTAAAATACTGAGATGATAGTTATTTAATATTTCCATTGGCACAGGCTTCAGACCCCAGGCCTCTGTAATATTAGCATCTGTATAAACTTCTGGATACCTAGGTGTGTGTATGTTCCATGCTGTTGGGGCATCAGGGATGAATAGAGCTAAATTCTCTAAAGCTTGCAGTATACAACATTTGGTGGTTGGACTTTGATCTTTGAGGTCTCTTCCAACTATAACGATTCTATGATTCTATAGGATAACAAGCACTAGCTTGTAATAGATAAGGTAGAGAAGGCAGTGACTATACAAGGAACTTGTGCTACCCTATTTTCCGTTGTTTAAAGTTGCTAATTCCTAGGATTCACACAGTAAAATGTGCAGAATAAAGGTTTATGTTGAAAAAGTATTAACTACTTGGTGATAATGTAGATAGTAATACCTTTCTTTTGATGTGATGGTTTGTGATCAAGATTTGCTCTCAGGATACAAAGTAAACAAATCTTGTTTAGTTCTTGCAACAAGTTACAAAGTCAAGTCTGTTTATAGTTCATGGAGATTTCCTGGTAGCTGTACTTAGTAATACCAGCAAGCCTTTTAACAGAGAGAAATGCATACTTAGGAACGCCCCCCCGCCCCCCAAAAAGTTGGGTTTTTTTGATATAACCTGTTCCCCAAACAATTCCATACCAGCAAGTAACAAGGGTAAGGCCTTTTTCTAGTTGACAAGTAAGTTGACAAGAGTGAAAAAAAAAATAAAAAATTAATCACAGCCCTGACCAAAACAGATAGGCTAATTTAACTGTGAAATCTAGAGTAGGCTGTAGAAATCAGGTGATAGCCATGATTCCCACCCCTTGATTAGACTTTGATGTTTTGTTTAGAAGGAAAAAGTACTCTTCATATAAGGAAAAATAAACTTAAATTATGGTGTGGAAAATGTTTTAATGTTGTTTTCTGGGCTAGTATATAATAATATATAATGTGTTCCTTTTCCCACTTGGTTAATATTCATGTTGATAGCCAGTCCTTTCATTTTGGGTAAGGTTATTTCTGCGTGATAAAAGTATTCTGTTACTAAATTATAAACACTAGTATTTGCTTCTATATCAACACAGTATATCATCTGTGGAAATGTTTACTTTACTGATAGCTGTATCAGCTTTATTTCCCAAGATAACCTGACTACTGCTAATCGCTCCTAAGAAGCCAGGTAATAAATTGGTAGATAGTTTATGATTACACTACATAGTTTGGAAAAATGAGTCATAACAAAAGCCTTTCCCTCTGTTAAAATAAAACAGAATTTTCACACAGAAGATCACTGGGACAGCACCTAAAACTGGATTCCTTTTTGCCTTAAATGTGAACTTTGCCTCTCTTAGGAAAAAAAACATTGTTAAAGTTTATAGATAAAGCTGTAACTAACATTAGGCATACAATCAGAACTTTTCTAGCAAAATTGGAGCAATTGCAATTGTTTCCTAAGAGCTATAACTCATGTCCACTGGAACATCCTTTAAAAAATTAAATGACGGTCAGTAAAAGTTTCTAATATTTCATTCCTTTTTTAAAAAAAATATTCTTTGATGAGCTGTATGCCATTTAGATCAGAAACTTCTAGATTTGTGAAGTTTTACTATTTTTCATTTACATCAGTTCCTGCTAGTGAATCATAATTTGGGTTGACATTTATTTAATACCATGGATTACACTATCATAGTAACCTTCGCTTGCTATAGATACGGTTCAGCCTACTCACTGATCTGTTAACCGAGTCATTAACAATGCGATCCTGCCTTCTGTCCCAAGTTCTGCAGAAATTGCATGTAGTTTTTCATGGTGTTGCTACTCACTGGATTGCCAACTGATCCAGTTTCTAATCTTACCTGGGTGTTGTATTTCAGTAAATGTCCTAATGAACTGATCATGTAGCATTCCTTGCCTCACAATTGGGAGGGTATCTTCAGGAAACACAGCTAGTTTGTTAAAATTTTATACATACATTTGTATGCAAAACAGAACACGTTTTTGTTTGTTTGTTTTTTGTTTTTTTTTTTGTTTTGTTTTTTAAATATTTCAGATGTTCATGACTCTTAGATAGAAATGTAATACACTGGATAGAGAGTATTGGGCTTAGACAGAGGAGACCTGGGTTCTGTTGGCTTTACCTTTGTCCTGCTGTGTCACTTCCATTCTCTATGCTATGATTGTAAGGTACTTGGGGATATTGTAATAAAAAAGACAATTCTATAGAACAGGCAAAATACCATTTTTTTCCTCTTTTTTTAGCATCATAACTAAATTTTTCTACTGCAAACTAAAGTCACTTTCCCAATAAAGCTGAATCCAGGTCAGAATGCATAGAAATTTTATCACTAACGTGAAATACAGCAAAAGCAAGCTGTCCTTTCCATGGACCAGATTAATGAGCAAAGTTTAACCATAAATTTCACAATAAAAAGTAGAATAAAATCTGTGTTGAATATAC